GGCTCAGGCCTCTGGGGCCGCGGCCTTTGCAGTTCTTCTGCTATCTCGTCAGGCAAGTGGTTTCTGTGCTGACAAGTCTCCAAAAGCTCCGTCTGGTGCCTGCATGCGTACCTATATATACACATATGAGTGTCTCTATATTTATCTTGCAAATGCATACAGTAAACTCACAAAATGAGCAAAAGCAGGCATCAGTTTTTTACTTTAAGATGGTCACTCCCCAAAAAACAGGCATGGGGGTCCCCAGAATCCTCCGCAGCATTTAGGACTCCTTGGGTGGGAGCTCAGACTGTTGGCTTGAGGGGAGGGAGAAAGGGCAGGTCAAGCGGCCCCGGTGACCTCTGGGGGTGCCGTGGTCCCCTGGGCGACTTCCCCAGCCACCGGGGAAGCACAGTTCCCGGGCTGAAACTCCATCTGAAATTGTGAGTTTCTCTCCCACGTTCCCCTTTTTCAGTCTTTACGAAGGCGGGGGCGGGGAGGCCTTAACTGAGACACAGACGAAAGAGGAAGTGTCTCAGCACTAACCAAACGTAATAGAGAGCCCACTCAGTGACCTGGATGGAAAAACTGAAGGCATCCTCTGCGTCCTCACAGACCTTCTGGGGGCGGGGGCAGCTGCTGCCCAGGAGCACCAAGCTTCCCTCTGGCCAGGTCTTTGCTGGGAGCTGAGAACGGATGGCTGCCCCCTCCAGGCCTTCTGATGTGCCTGAGGCTACACGGGCCTCCTTGCCCCCGTGTGACCCGCCAGGCTTCTTTCTCACAACATGGAGATGCCCAAGCTGTGTTCAATGCAGGTGCCATCTGAAGGGGCCCACCCTAGGACCATGAGCCATGAGCACTCCGCCTCCGATTCACGCTCCAAGTCAGTCAGCACCGCCCACTGAGCACCTGTGGGGTCCAGCTGGTGCTGACTCAGGGACAGGATGGAGGGGATGAAGACACGACAAGAGAGTGGCTGGTGACAGGACCAAGTGTGGTGCAGAGGAAACAGGAAAGAGAGCATCGCCAGAGTTGGCACTTTGACAAAAAAACCCCGTTATTTCTTGTGCAATGTAAAATACATTTCTGCTTCCCTGGCCGGTTTGGCTCAGTGGATAGAGCGTTGGCCCGCAGACTGAAGGGTCCTGGGTTCGATTCCGGTCAAGGGCAGGTACTTCGGTTGCAGGCTCAATCCTTGGGCCTGGGGGGGTGTGGGAGGGCATGTGTGGGAGGCAACCAATCAATGATTCTCTCTTACATTGATGTTTCTCTGTCTCTCCCTGTCCCTTTCACTCTCTCTAAAAATCAATGGCGGTGAGGATTAACAAAAAACAA